AATGTTTAGAGAAACATACTGAGTAACTTTAACTGGAAAATTATAATGTCTAGGCTGACCTTTCGACCTCCACAATCCCATACTTCGATGGTCAGTTCTTTCCATTCCTCGCTGATTTGCAAATCGAGAGAGTTCTTGTCCACAGCATGCTCTGAAATATATAATGTTTGCTGATTATCACATTGTTTTAGATTTGAAAATGAAACTRGACGATCAGCGATCGTTTACATGGGCTTCCTGTGGTATTGAAATAACAATTCTAAACATGGCAATAAATACAAATCTTTTATAATTATAAAAATAATCAAAGAAGGGGAGTTCCAGCCCTGGATTCACATCAAACAATCTGTTGGACAACCTTCTGATTTAGCAAATTAAGGCTATGTTTCAAAGACACTGTCTGCCATGAAAGGGGGTTCCAGAACACCTGGAAACCTCCCCACTAAGTTAGACCCCCTGAAATTAAGAAGTACATTCATTGTGTAAAACATACCTGAAGACTCGTTAAATGGTCTCCATTTCATTACGTGAACACCTTCTGTGCTACTGTCAGCAACCGCTAAAGATGAGCTAACCATACACATTGCCAAACTACTTTTACCACTTCCTTCTTCTCCAATAAAAGCAACTCTGGACATACAGTGGAGATTACTGTCTTCTAAAAACTGTTTTGTAGCTTTGATGCCATTCAATGTCACATCAAGTGGCGGGCACTTCAGTCCAGTGCAGCCCTCCACCATTAATTCCTTCAGCAAAGATAACTTCACAAAACCATATGGAATGTGTTTTACTGAGCAATGCCGAATGTCAACACATTCAATGTTTGGACAGTTTGTTGATAGTACCTCTAGACTTTTTTCAGTGAGCTTTAAGCACCATCCCAACTTAATAATTCTAAGTTCTGGACAGTGATTTGCCAATGAAGATACTGCTTCATCAGTTAATTGATTACAACCACAAAAATCCACTGACTGTAAAGATGTACATTTAGAACAAAAGTCCTCAACCCCTTTGTCTGTAATATTGCAATACCCGCTATTAATAGTTTGTAAGTTAGGACACAATTTAGCAATTTCGCTTAATGTTGTGTCCGTAATAGCAGATAGCTCACTTAAATCCAGTGAAGTGAGCGTTGAACAAATATTTGTTACAAATTTCTGTAATCCATCAGATGTTATATTTTTAAATCCACTTATCCCAAAATGCTGCAGTGAAAGGGTTTGATTTTCTATAATTATTGCTTCAAAGAGTTCATCATCTAGCGACCACTCAACATCGTCAGCCTCGTTCTCATTTTCATCTATGTCATCACTTTCACAGCATAAAATTGATAAAAACTTTAAATCTTTGCATTTGTTTGTTACACTTGCCAGTCCAGTTTTTGTTAAGTCCTTAAAACAACCATTGACTGTTAAATGAGTTAGTTTTGCACAGTGATCTGCAAGTTTGTCAACCAGTGCGTCATCCAATTGCCTGCAATGGTGTATACTCAACGTTCTTAAATCAGGATTGAACAGGTCAATAAGTGTCTCAGTGTCTTCATGTGTTAGATTTTTACAGTTTCTCAATAGCAAATTTTCTGTCTGGGGATTTTCTTCAAGAAGTTTCTGAAACATAAAACATTCCACCATTTAAAACTGGAAACTGCCATCAGAAAGTGGAAAATTTCGTTGTTTACTTTGACCTTAGATATCATATCTGGATTTTGCATATCATATCCTGAGATTAACCAATCACAATTGATTTTAGTCATATGGTTTTTGGCTAAGATATCATATCTGTCTGTTGTCCAATCAACGACAGGCAATTATTATTATTTACACGTCAGTTACATGTAGATATGATATCCTACTTCTAGCCAATAACTATGGTGTACTCTGGCAGAATACTTTGTCTTCATGTATTTGCTTTCTATCATAAGTGAAAATAATATTATCATTTGCCACTGTACGTCTATTAATAAAGAAATGCAACACTCAGAATTACATTTATTTTATTAAATAAGTACTGGCTAGGTCTTAGAAATAGAATTAATTTGATTTAAYTTTTTAATTTGAAATTGTCTAATAATAAGCTTTAGACAAATTAATGGTAGGCTGCAAAGGAGACTAAAAGAGAATAGATTCGCTCTTATTGTATTAAATACCAATTGTTAATATGGAATCCTGGGCCTGTGATTCCTAGAAGATTTGCTAGAAACAAGTGTGTCCTAAGTCATGCAATCTTTATTACTGAAAATCATAAAAATATCCTGTTGCAAATTAAAGTCATTATTACTGCTATTATCAACAATAACTTAAAGCATATATAACAAGCTTAAATGTAGCTGTTTGATATTAATGTTTCAAAACAATAATGCTATAATGCACATCAAAATTTAATTTTGAATTGTACAGACAGGTAATACATGGAAACAATCGATCTTTCATTCAGTAATTCTTACTTGATTGTTGTTGCTAGGCAACAGTTTATTTTCACCAAAAACACACATTAAGTGGGTGATTATTTACATTTTGTCAGTTCACCCTTTTTAAAAAAAAATCATTTACACAGAAGACATTGAACCTGTGTCAAAATGCTATGTACTATCCTTGCTTCTCTGAAGTTAATGCTTTAATATTAGAATCATTAAAATTAAATTGCTCCTTTGTGCTTAATATATAAATGCTTATTTACTAAAGTTCTGTCTCTAAGAGCATTTAACCTTTAGCACTCAATGCCTCATGATCATTTGTTGTGTTAAATAAAAGAAAAAAAAAACTAAAAGAAAATAAAAATGAAATAATTGAGCTAGAAGACAATTACTGTATATTGAGTTCACTACAAAAAGTACTGTAGATGCATAGCTATTTTCCTTTTTTGTGTGAGCTTTGCTTGATAATGTGTGTTCTTACACTTATTCTTATGAAGGACTTTTTTCAGATGAGCTTCCTGTACTGTAAATCCATTTATGAATATTCAGTGTTATCATTGTTATAATACATATTACAGTACAATCAYGGTGCATTAAGATGAACAAAAGGCACATACAATGTATAGTTTGAATTCATGTAAGAATATGAAGAACTTAATAATATATAAAATAACATTGTAAAAGACCATTAATTATGAGCTAAAAGTCTTGGCAGTCCAAAATATTTCTTGTACGTGTCTGTGATAGTGTTTGTTTATGCAGTTACCATGGTATACCATGATCATTAACATAAATGTCTGACATTCTTTTTAATACAAAATGAACACCTATGGAACAAAGAATACCGATAATCAACCATAACATTTACTTTATATATTATGGACTCTATCAATAAGCCTTCAATTGCTAGCAGCATAAGTTCTTTTGAGATTTTCTTTGTTTTTAAGTATTGAGATGGAATAAACATYTTGATCATTGGCTCATGATACTTAATTTTTCAAGAGCCACAGAAATACACCTGTCTGAAATGGATTTGTTGATTAACAGTTTCATTAGTAAGGAACTGATGACATCTAATCACACTGACACCCACAAAAGGAAAACAGAGATAATACTGTGTTCAGCTTTCAATAAAATTCAAAATCTAAGCAGAAATAATCAGCATTATAAATATTATATGTTATCGTTTTTACTAAGTCTGGTAACACATACATTGAGAAATAAACCTGAGCTACAATTTTATGCTAGTCGAACTCGGAGTGTGTTATTATAAATAATACAAATATAATATATTATTATAATCATAGAGTAATAAAAGTTCAACCGTTTCATTAAATTTAGGAAGTAGGTGGCTGTTCTTAAAAAGTACTGTACATATTATAAGCGGCCACAAGTGGTACAACTGTAATGTAGCATTTAATTAAGTAGCCAGCAGCTCAAAGGTCAAAATCTAATGAAATTATGTATTATTTTCAATTTTGTAATTATTCTGAATTGCAATTTAAGGTAGCCAAATTAGATTGCATTTACTAAACAGTGTCTGAAAACAAAATAGATTAAACTATAATATATAAAATGTATTTGAGCAATACCCAATTTTCTTGTTCTACCTTTTTACTACCCACAATACTATAATACSTATGTATGAACACTTTTAATGCACCCTCTCTCATCTAATTGACAGGTTCTCTTCTGCACACTTGAGATGTCAACTATATCATACACCCATTACTACTATGATAAATATGGGCAGGCAACACATAAGCACATTAAAACACTGATATCATAGCATGGGAAAACACATATCAAGTATTAAATCCATTGTAAGATTTGAAATGTCAAATATAAACCTAATCTGAATATTTCTTCTTCTGATAACAGCATTGTATTACTAACTATTTTGCCTTAAATGACATTGTGTATGAAAATACTCAGTTGATGTTGTACTTGGCTATTCCTCCTTTACTTTTTTGCTTGAGAATTTTGAAAAACATATCCATTTGACTCATTTTTGACAAAAAAAAAACAAACAAGTAAATTTAAGTATTGTTACAKGTATGGCCCCTATGGCTTTAATACATAACACACATTCATTAATGCTCATTTTAAGAATTCAGTTTCAATTGTATTTCACGAAAAMAATCATTTTTCCTGACCACCATTGTCGAAAAAAAAAATATAACAGTTTTCGCGAACGAAGTGGTTTTAAAGGACTGTAATTTGGCTTGTAATTGTAACAGTTTTTTCCTAACGATGCATAAAGAAACATATATAAAAGTCCTAAAAAACAGAAACAAAATAAGCTAGGAATGATAATGAAAATCAYGAAAACCTGTCGTTTCATACTGTGTAAACAAAGAACGAGCGAGATGAGAAGCTCGGTACCACGAAGTAGTAAACAAACAAATTTTACGGGGAAAATCTACCAAAATAAGCTCGAAAAATACGCTTTTCTCACAGTAGACTGCATCACTAATACCCGTATTAAATCCATTGAAAATGTTTTAGAAAGTAAGGCAAATATCAGCAAAAAAGGCACACACAACGACTGTATTTATCAGTGACTGCCATGGTAACGTAGGGTTTTGTCCATGTAATGGAAATTTTAATTATGTTGTTAGGGTTATAAAGTTCACCTTTTGTCCCTAAAAACCATACTTTACTAAAGTGACCTTAAAAAGTCAAAATAATTTCGTAAAAAATCACTAAAAAGGATTTAAGGCGAGCATTTAGATTTTTGGGGAATACAGTAGAATCAAATCAAATCCTGTCTACAATCTAATGGTATTGTAGATTTTATAATCGTGTATTGCTGTAAGGCARCATCGGGTACGTCCTTAAAGTGTTTCAACGAGCGAGCTAAAGGTACTCTAAATACTTGCACTGCAGCTGACTATCGATCGGTGCCTATTATGACAGCCGATGGATAATAACAGAAGCCCTATAGCTAGCCAAAAATCCATTATTAGTCAGAGCGTGAGAATGTGAACGATAATCTCCAATTGCTGGATGATGTCGTTCTGGGAAAGCTGAAACCTGCCCCATAAACTCCGATTCCTGGAGAATAGTAGCTCAGTWCCCATAGATGATCAGTATCTCAAAATATCWTTACTGCAATTTACGCATGGATTACGAAAGCGCTGTCTTCTTGTCTGTCTTCTTGGCTTACCTTTGCCTCGTCCAAGCTGACGCTTTGGTCAATCACGATTTCTTGTAACCCCATGATTACAAATGAAATCTAGTGACTTGCCCTGTTGATGTCTCGTAGGCCAAACGTTTCTTGTTGTAAAAAACACGAAGCCATACTCAATTGTCGCTACAATTCCCTGTTTCCATAGAACTGGAAGCTAACGATGTTTTTTTTCCAGCTGGCGTTTTGAGTTTGCGCACTAGCTAGCACTGTGTATATTTACACAGGGATCCCAAATTAAATGGTCCGAGCAATAAAACCGATAATAGACCGCTAATGAAATTGATAAAAAAGAGAAACGTGAAAAAACTTATCTTTACGCTATCTTTGATTAAGCGAAATGAMATTTTGAAGATTTTGTTGAAATTTTTCTTATATGCTAAAACCAATTCAAGATACTGTCCAGTGAAGCCACTTGACGTCCTGCCAAAAACTTCACATGTAATCCAATTTCACTTAAAATTGGAAGTATTTTCTAGATTGCTTCATATTCAAGCTGTGTGGATTTAAAAATTKAAGCGAAGCGGCTCAAAAACAATGGATTATTATGTTGTCGACGTCCTTTTCTTCGTGTAAAACCTGTAATTAGAATAGGTTAGCATGAAAAAAATCTCATGATTCACTTTTGAAAACCGCTTTCGAGTGCAATTTTTGGTTTTTAMCTGAAGAAAAACAAATATMACAGGGATCCCAGATAATMTGGACTCGTTATATGATARCGAAATAATACGATTGAAGTTTAAATGTAAGAGTTGTAAGAGTTTATCTCTCGTGTTTTACAAATGAGGCAGATGGTACACTTTTGGGAGTTTATTGTCCTGGGATCGATATCCTACCGAAGAAGCCTTTCCTGCGACTCGTGACACGTAAACGCGTGCCGACAAGTGAACGCGGAAATTCGCTGAGYGTTGGTTATTTGTRATTCTAGATTTTTCTTTGAGCTCCTATATGCTTCCATCTCATAAAGCTCATTTCTAAGTG